GTGTTTGGGGTGGGGGGGGGTGTTGGGGGGGGGTGTTTGGGGTGGGGTGTGGGGTGTTTGGGGGTGCGGGTGGTGGTTGTACTCGGTACTCAGGGGTAGAATTGATCCCCATCAACCTGTGCCAGTGGCAGTGGAAGGAGGCAAGTCAATGGATGGGTTGGTCTGCAGGCTCAGTGAGTAGGCTGACAGCCTGTTACTCGTTACACCAATCACTGGATTGTCTGGTCCAAATATGATTGTTTACACACAGTGCAGATTTTCTTAAACTATAGAGTCGACACCAGTAGGTAATTCCGCTTACTTCCGGACGCCACGTGACAGGCAGTCGGAACGAGCAGAAGGGAGTGAGTGAGTGAGTGAGTTAGTTAAAGTTTAACGTCACATCGGCAGTATTTCTGCCATATAGTGACGAAACAAAATTTGACATTAACAATAGACCAGAAGGGAACAGAATAGCCATTTGACATTAGCCAATTACAGACGGGAAATTATTCAACGTCACCAGTCCTTCGTCATAAAACGTCAACAATAATAGCTATAAAAAGACAGGTAATCCAGCTGGTCGTGTTACTGGCAATGCTTCAGTTTCTACAAATTCCGCTCACCTTGGCGTGTAATTCCCCTCATACTTGTAATAATAAATTGTGATTTGATCACCTCGACACAAGCCTAATAATTAAAATATGTGAATTGTTTGGCATGACATATATTTCACCGTAGTTTAAATATTTCATTTTACCATACTTATATTTTACGTTCAAAAGAATTTACAAAATCTATGTTAGATTTTGTGATTTGAAAGTGTGTTGCTGGAGTATGGTAGAAAATGTGGATTATAAAGTTTAAAAGCTTTTACAAAATGAAGTTCCAGGATCTTATATGGAGAGTATGGGGACGTGCAAGAGTATTTTATCCCCAATTCCCCTGGCTGTTTGCATTATATACAGACAACAGGAGTTTACATTGCCAAGTTTCTGCTGTTCAGTGTACCCCCAACTGTGTCATGTCAAGCACGTTTCAACCACGTGCAATACAGTCGCTCCAACTCACGGTGGACGAGAAGCCTATGGTGAATCTGCCCTAGCCACGTTATAACACTTGGACAGACTGTAGACAGGTGCGTGAGCCTGTATGGATGTAATACCCATGTGGATTGAAAGGTTTGACAAGCAATATACGAATTTGACTACCGGGTGTTTTGGGTGTATGGGGTAGTGGATTGTGGATTGTAGATTTGCCTTTGGAAGTTTAATCCAGGTGACCATGCAGGTTTAATATTCATTGTGCCTACAGCCAATGGGAACAGTTATGGGCGTCAGTCATTTTATCCACCAATAATGACCACTGTCCACGTGGTCATTGATTCATTCCAGGCTCTACACTGTGTAAAATGTGTTTAGAACAAATGTTCCTTGTCCCATAATTTTGACATGTATAGGCCTAACTTAACAATGTTTAGTGCCTATTGCGGTAAGCAGGTATAACTTCATTGCCACCAGAGAGAAGTGTCGTTAGTTATAGCCAACAAGACACTGATGGAATATGTTTAATAATAGTTTTACATACGGACCTGCAAGCTCTTGGTTGGTAGTCCTTCTTACTACCTGTGCTACGGAGACAGACTGTTGTCGTTGTTGTTGTTGTCGTTGTTGTTTATAGATCTAAGCATGTCTTGTGTGTTTACATTCTAAACACAGTTTTTACAGTGTAATGTAATTATCTGTTACAGTACTCTACACCATTTCGTCACTTACAGGACCCTCATATTGTCTGCAAGGACCCTTAAAATTCATTATTAGGGGTCCCCTTGGCCCCCACTTTTGTAAGTCAAGGTAAAACCTGACTATAAGGTATATGATCAACTGTACAAGGCCTCACCAAGTTGGTATGTAAGATGTAGGCTGTAGATTGCACGTAGCTGAAAGCCTGACAAAGTAAAAATGTATCTACAATATTAAGCTAAACTTTGTTGTAACTACTGAGTCACTGTCAAAGTCAAACAAAAGAATCAACTCAAATAATTGAAGTAAAAGTAACACTGTAAGTTGACTAACGTTTACTCTAAACACGACAAATGACGTGAATTTATTGATTCATCTCATTGTATCCCAGTTACCTAGACCGATGTTCATTATGTCAATCACTGGATTGTCTGGTCCAGACTCGATTATTTACAGAACGCCATCCTATCGCTAGAATATTGCTGAGTTTGGCGTTAAACAACAAACACCCCCCACCGCCACCCCCACCCCACCCCACCCCAAATAAAAAAAATAAAATAAATTAGCAGCCAAGTAAATGGGAAGGATGCATTCAGATTTAGTCAGAAATCGATCATTTTGCTTTTGAAGCCACGCTCTTTACCCAAGGTCATGCTATCCTTGGGGCATCAATTAGGAAAGTTGTGTATGGCAATTTAATGATAACAATAGTAGGTCAGTGTGACTTTCTTCCAGTATCTGTCGATCGCCTGTTACTGTAACTGTCTGGTGACATGACATTGTGTCTCACCCTGGAGACCAGATCCATGGGATGGGATGACACCCCCAACCCACCCCAGGTGACAGAAACGACCGCTCCCCCTCTCCCTCCTCTACCAAACCCCCTCCCCTTCCTGCTCCTTTGTGGAACTTGTGAGTCCTGGTATCTTCATAGGGTACATACTGGATACATGTAATGCCTATTGCTATTGTTTTCACTATACACTGTGCGAGGTGAGCTGGGTGTGCCTGCCTGCCTGCCTGCCTGCCTGCCTGCATTCCACTTCCATTGTGCCTGATGTCCGGTTCCAGTGTGCCTGATTTCCAGTTCCGGTTTGGCTTATTTCTGGTTCCGGTGTCAGGGCATGGGTTGGGCTCCATTTTGTGTCTTAGGGTTAGGGAACCAGGGCATGGGTTGGGCTCCATTTTGTGTCTTAGGGTTAGGGAACCAGGGCAAGGGTTGGGCTCCATTTTGTGTCTTAGGGTTAGGGAACCAGGGCAAGGGTTGGGCTCCATTTTGTGTCTTAGGGTTAGGGAACCAGGGCATGGGTTGGGCTCCATTTTGTGTCTTAGGGTTAGGGAACCAGGGCATGGGTTGGGCTCCATTTTGTGTCTTAGGGTTAGGGAACCAGGGCATGGGTTGGGTTCCATTTTGTGTCTTAGGGTTAGGGAACCAGGGCAAGGGTTGGGTTCCATTTTGTGTCTTAGGGTTAGGGAACCAGGGCAAGGTTGGGCTCCATTTTGTGTCTTAGGGTTAGGGAACCAGGGCATTTGTTGGGCTCCATTTTGTGTCTTAGGGTTAGGGAACCAGGGCAAGGGTTGGGCTCCATTTAGTGTCTTAGGGTTAGGGAGCCAGGGCAAGGGTTGGGCTCCATTTTGTGTCTTAGGGTTAGGGAACCAGGGCATGGGTTCGGCTCCATTTTGTGTCTTAGGGTTAGGGAACCAGGGCATGGGTTGGGTTTCATTTTGTGTCTTAGGGTTAGGGAACCAGGGCAAGGGTTGGGTTCCATTTTGTGTCTTAGGGTTAGGGAACCAGGGCAAGGGTTGGGCTCCATTTTGTGTCTTAGGGTTAGGGAACCAGGGCATGGGTTGGGCTCCATTTTGTGTCTTAGGGTTAGGGAACCAGGGCATGGGTTGGGCTCCATTTTGTGTCTTAGGGTTAGGGAACCAGGGCAAGGGTTGGGCTCCATTTTGTGTCTTAGGGTTAGGGAACCAGGGCATGGGTTGGGCTCCATTTTGTGTCTTAGGGTTAGGGAACCAGGGCATGGGTTGGGCTCCATTTTGTGTCTTAGGGTTAGGGAACCAGGGCAAGGGTTGGGCTCCATTTTGAGTGTGCTTGGGAACTATGGCTAATTTGGCTACCCCTTTTGGCATCCTTTGACCAAATGTTCCAAAAAATCTTCTTAGGTTAGCTGTTGTTTGGGTGATGTGATCCTTAGAATCAGAACAAACATCACATGCGCATGCTTGCAAAGTGTGACACAGGTACTGAGTCATTCTCGATGGATTATTAGGATTTAGTCCTGTTTTGAACTATATATTTATGAACTATAGACACACTCAGCACCACAGACCAGCTGCCCTGGCAAGGCTTCGTATCCTGCACAGCTGGACACTTCAGACCTGTGAACCATTGGGCCAACACAGAATGTGTTATTTTATCCTCTTTATGAAAACCTGCAAACAGGATAGAATGTTGATAGAAACTTTAAATGCCTTGATACATTGAACATGAACAAAGTTGGCACTTCAAAACACATTTAAATTTGATTCAGAAATCAAATCAAAATCATGAATTTAAATTATTTGTTGTTAGGGTGTCTACAAGGCCACTATTGGCATCACTCTCACAGTTTAAACTTATATACACACGAACCTTTGTAATAAAGATTCTACTTGAATCCAGGCCGTCGATGTTAACAATAGTTATTCAATTATTAATACGTGTAAAAGAGGAGAAAACATATGGCCCTTCTTCAATTCCGAAACAACTTACACATAATGACGCATTGGGCACCAAACGTCCCCTCAAACTGACCAGTTGCCTGGCCGAAATCAGGATCAGGCACGACGGAACCGGAAATCAAGCAAACCGGAACCGGAACCGGAAATAAGCCACACCGGAAATAGGCCACACCGGAACTGGAAATAGGGCAAACCGGAACCAGAAATCAGGCAAACCGGATCCGAAAATAATGCCCCTTGAACCACGGGAACCACGGGAACCAGAAATCAGGGAAACCGGATCCGGAAGTCCGACAGACCGGAACCGGAAATAATGCACACCGGAACCGGAAATCAGGCAAACCTGAACCGGAAATAGCCACACCGGAACCGAAAATCATGCACACCGGAACAGGAAATAAGGCACACGAGAACAAGAAATCAGGCAAACCGGAACCGGAAATAAGCCACACCGGAACCGGAAATCATGCACACCGGAACAGGAAATAAGGCACACGAGAACAAGAAATCAGGCAAACCGGAACCGGAAATAAGCCACACCGGAAACCGGAAATAATGCACACCGGAACCGGAAATCAGGCAAACCGTATGCGGAAATCAGACACACGGGAACCAGAATTCAGGCAAACCGGAACCGGAAATCAGACAAACCGGAACAGGAAATCAGGCAAACCGGAACCGGAAATCAGACAAACCGGACAAACCGGAACAGGAAATCAGGCAAACCGTATGCGGAAATCAGACACACGGGAACCAGAATTCAGGCAAACCGGAACCGGAAATCAGACAAACCGGAACCGGAAATCAGGCAAACCGTATCCGGAAATCAGGCAAACCGTATCCGGAAATAAGCCACACCGGAACCATAAATAAGGCAAACCGGAAGTCGACATCAGCCAAACCGAAGTAATTATTTGCTTGCTTGCTTGCTTGCTTGCTTGCTTGCTAGACTTCAAATCTAGGATTAGGCTTGAAGCCGCAGTATTCAAGTTGGTTTCGGTGAACGGCTTTTTCAGATATTTTTCTGCCGCTTCACTCAGTTCAGTCCTATCCACAACCCCTGTTACGACAAGGACAGGCCCGGGCCATTTTTAGTATTGTCTGTCTACAAAAGGTCTCTCAGACACAGGAGAGACGCCGCACAAGCACCTGTCTCGTGTGGACGTGTGTATGGATGTTCCGGGCCAGTACACTTATGCCTTTCCCAGCTGACAATCATCTGACAACAGATGAAACTTTAGTAGCTATGATGAATATCATGTGCAACATTGTGCAACATTGTGCAACATTATCCAGCAAAAGCCATTCAGTCTCCCTAACTGATACTGTATGAGTTTTAGTCACCTCTTTCTTTAACACAAGTTCACAAGGCAACTGTGACCTGAAGCCACAACGTGGAACCACTGCACAGCAAGGTGTTTCAATGTTACGTTCTCAGAGGAAACTGTCTTTAATCAGTAACACGCTATTTCAACATCATGGTAGGGCCATCCGTAACATCCAACAGCTTTCCTGTAGCAAATGCAGCACATAGTCAAGCACTGTCCACATGTTTCATGGCTTTCGCATTATATCAAACAACAGTTGTCATGACATCAACGAAACGTATTTTTTTATTTATACTTCATAAAGTGCCCTGAGATGTGGTAAGGCCTATGTAAATATAACATATACCATTCCATAAAAATTACTCATATCCAGCAAACAGTGTTGCTCTTTCTGCTTTCAAATCAATCGATAGCATCTGTCTTTGTGGTTTAGGCATCTTTGGCGTATTTAAAAAACTTGAAATATCATGCAACGTGCATCGTACCTATGCTATTCAATTGGAGGCCCCAGGACGCAAACCTGCACCGGTGGTTAAGAGAGCATGCTGCGAGGTTATAACCTCCAAGGAAATTATTCCATGGCCAGACAAACGATCCTGTGGCACATAAGCCAGAACGTGTTGTTTCACAGCCCTAATGTCGCCACCAGTCATCTTATTAATCTCGCGTTATATCCGAACGTTTATTAATAGAAAGGGTGTTTTCCAGACATTTCACACCCGTCTGGAAATCAACTTCGGGCTCCTTTTCGGTCCTTTCGGAAGTGCTTGTGCCTCCAGGTTTAGTCGTCGGTCTCTTGGCACCGCTTGCTTTGGCTCGGGGACACCCTGACTGGGTGCAAACCCCCTTTTTAATAGGAACTCTTTTTTCAAGGGACTTCTTACATACTACATGAACCCCGTACTCAACTCTCAACCCTCAACCCGAGCCAATCGAATCGCTCTCTTTTCATTGGCCGACTAATCGCTTTTCTCCCTTTCCCTTGTTTTGGCTCCATTACCCGGGCCCCGCTTTTACCCCGCTCCGGCCCCGCTTTTACGCCCATGGTTACCGCTTCGCTTTCGAACAGAACACGATATAGTTACAAATATTCTCACTTCACTTCACTTCACTTCACTTCACTTCACTTCACTTCACTTCACTTGAGTTTCATCACATTTTTGTAAAAAAAATCTCCACAACCAACATTTTTTTTTTTTTAGCAACTATTTTACAGTGTTTCAGAACGAAGTCAGTATATTGAGTCTACTTTCATTTTACTTCTTGGACGTTCGTGGCATACTTATTTCTTGTCTTTCTTGCCTTTCCTGTTTTTCTGGCTATTTCGGCTTTTTGCTATTCAATGCAGCTTTAACTCTCTTTCCAATTGTCACCATTTATTTTACACCTCGTCTTCAGGTTTTATACTCTGCATTATTTTACCTTCACATCTTCAATTCGGTTGTCTGTAAAACAAATTATTGCATAATCATACTTTATTTTTCCCAACATAGGAAATATCTTTTATTCATCGTACATGTAGATCCACTTTTGTCGACTTCTTTCCATTTTTGACCACTTCTTTCCACTTTTCGCGCAAATCCACCACGTGGCCACACCGGCTACACTAAGAGCATCTCGGCACTGCACCGACCGCCAAAAAACGCAGTTTAGCCAGCCGGTACCAAGCCACTCAAAGGCCACCGGCTACGCCGAGAGCATCTGGGCACTGCACCGACCGCCAAAAAACGCAGTTTAGACAGCCGGCACCAAGCCACCCGGAAGGAAGCGGCAAAGCACCAATCACAGTCGAGATCACTAATGTCAAGGCCGTCATTTCCTCCGTCAGCTGGCAATGGCGACACACGGAATTTCTCTCTGGCTGGCATCGTCAAACACGCGTGCTCCCTCGGTCTTGTCGCGTCTCCATCGACGGAGGGAACGATTATGCACATGCATCTGAAGGTAAGTTCATTCATATATTTCACTCAACGTCTTTATTTCCCGCACAGAGCGGCCATTCTGTCAAAACAGGGACGAAGCATGCATCATTGCATGTTCCAAACCTTGTCCTTCCTTTGGCCGTTTGCAACTTCTTAACTTTCATCACAGAAAGTGTCACCTGTTTCTGCCGCTCTCTGGTGCACGTTGCAAGTGTTTTCGTTGCGAAGAAGCAGGCAGTGTGCTTCCTGTATTCTTGTATGGATGGATGATCAATGCCTACCTTCACACACTGACCACGCCCTATAACAGTTTAAACAATATTATTACCGTATTTCATCCGACATAAGAACGGCACTCTGCTATCATTAATCAACATGCACCATTCATCACGCCCTTCAGTGTAAACAAACCTAAGTGTTCAACTACCGTATTTCTGACAAAAACACGACCCTTTATAATGAGTATGTGTTGTATAAAGTACTTTTCTTCTGTTGGAAATGTATTTGTTCAAGGCCCCTACCCCTCACATTCAAACTAACACTGGTCTCATACTGGTGTCCCATTGCTGGAAATCTTGCCCAGAGTAATTCTTTAAGCATGTATCATTTGTCTTGGCAATGGGCTAAGGGGAACAACTCTGTCAGTCTTCCAGGTTCATGCAACTTAATTAGCGTCACATCACGACCAAATGTGTTTACCTCATTGGCTGATGCAGCTTTGTCAGCCATGTTCTTAACAATACAAAGATACTGACCCAGATTTCTTCATTGTTTTCTGGCTTGTATTACAATTTATGGTCGAAATAAGGCTGCACTATAAGTAATAAAGTACCTAATAATATAATAAGGTAACCTAGATTTGAAAATACTATATTTGTAAACACTGGAAAATGGTTAGTTCGAATAATTTCATTATTTCATGTTCGCACTACCCGCACGGTATGTAGGCGTTGACAGACGACATGGTAGAGAAGGTTCTTCATGGTAAAGACCCTAGTTTTAGGGCTCCAGTTATGCATATAGGATGATTATGTTGCCTAACCTGTATAAACTTTCTGTTTGGCAATATGTTCTAAGTTAGTGTAGGATGCAAGCAGTATTTTGTCCAAAGACAGGTGTTTGTGGGTTACTCAGGTCACGTGACTTTCCACCATGTCACGTACACATCTAGTAGATATTGAAGCTTGAAGAATCAAAGTATAAACTATGTCCCTGGCTAGTGTACATGTTGTTAGTTTTCCCCTCTATGTCATTTGGTATATCTATCTGTCCCAGGGGTATGGGAGACAACTCTGGTTGTCTTGTTTAAGTAATGATTTGCAGGGCGCTTCAATTGTACTGTAATGTTATAATGTTATGCTCTTCACTCAAAATCCATTTATTATAATTCATGTGTAATGTCTTGATATCCATAATTAATCATAGTACATTTTGGGGTATTATTCTGTAGTATATTTCCATGTAAAACACTTGATATTTAAAGAAGAGTTTCTGTCAAACTCATTTCCAAGTGCATGCTGCTTGAAGTATAGCTACTTTTCTTGTACTGTAAATAATGGATAATATATAATAATGATAGGATTTATGGTTCTGATGTTTATTGAAAGTTAATGTTGATCCTGTTAACCATTCTGTTGATCAATAACTATTGTAAAAGGGGTTCATGTCATCTAGACCAGTGTTGCTATACATAACAGAGAGAACTAAGTAGGTACATAGACACTTTACTGAAACTAAATCTTTAATAGTCGATGAGTTGTATGCTATATCGTTGCACCATGCCAAGTTGTAAACTTGATGACAATACAAGTTTTGTGAGCCATGTTCTTACGAATACAAAGATACTGACCCAGATGCCTTCATTGTTTTCAGTCAGTCTGAGTGATTGTGAGCTGGGTAACATATGCATTCATTATGCTCCATTCATGATATCAATCACTGGATTGTCTGGGACTCGATTATTTACAGACCGCCGTCATATAGCTGGATTATTGCTGAGTGCGGCGTTAAACAACAAACCAAACCAAACCAAACCAAACCATTATGCTCCATTCATTGATCAAGTTCTTTGTCTTTAGTCCATTGCTGCTGTACAGGCCTGCCGAACTGATGTCACACAACCTCGTCCCTCTCCCCCCTGGTTCCCCTCCCGCCCTCCATCTCCCAATCCTGTCCTGTTCGTTGTATCATGGATTATTACTTTAACATCTGTTTTTTTTCTAAAAACCTTATGTAAAAGTCAATAATATTGTTGACATTAGTCTCTTTGTGTTACCACTTGATTGTAACCATGGTAACAGTTCTGTAATTATTCCAGTTTCATGAACCAGGAAAAGTGACGTCTTTATTAAGACCTTTATATCTAAATTTCCAAGAAATTGATGTTTTGGTTGGTTACCAAGGTATCAGAGCATGAAGAGTGGTGGAGTAATTATGTTTCAACTTGTTTTGGCCGTGAATCACTTGTGCTCATTTTGTTGGACATTCTTGCAGACCCAAGATGGCTGAGCGGCGCCGACACAATCTCCTGACACAACTTACCACAGCCCTGATATTTTCTTCTTTATGGAAGATTGTGAAAGGTAGGCGATTTTATACTTTGGTCTCCTTGTACTCAATAGTATTTTTCATGAGGTATACTGTATTTGTGGTATTAAGCATCCCGCTCTACTAAAAGCAAGGATTTATCTGGAATTCCAAACAAGGTTCTGTTTGTTCCCTTGGCAATCCAATTGGGAAAGAAATTGTAAGATTGTTCCAATTTGGGAATTTGTACTGTCTTTTGCTGCGGACTTGGGGTCGAATATAGATAATCCTGAAATAGATTTACATAACAGGTCCTTTTTAGCTTGTGTATATTACAGCAATGGTGAAGGAGTAACTGTTATTGTCAAGAATGCAGTTTACTGGGCCCAGCTTAATTAGCGCTAATTGGCTCAGGCTCTTGATTGTAGCTCTTAGTTCACAGGTTTCGTAGTGTTCGGGTAGGGTGGGCTACCTACAACCCTTTCCTATCAAGCACCCCTTTACGATCATTGGTTAGGCACCCCTTTACGATCATGTACCCCTTTACAATCATTACGGTTAGGTACCCCTTTACGATCAATTTCCCCTATACGATCATTAGGGTTAGGTACCCCTTTACGATCAAGTAACCCTTTCCAATTAGGGTTAGGCACCCCTTTACGATCATGTACCCCTTTACAATCATTAGGGTTAGGTACCCCTTTACGATCAATTTCCCCTATACGATCATTAGGGTTAGGTACCCCTTTCCGATTAAGCACCCCTTTACGATCATTAGGGTTAGGTACCCCTTTACGATCAAGCACCCCTATACGATCCTTAGGGTTAGGTACCTCTTTCTGATCAAGCACCCCTTTACGATCCTTAGGGTTAGGTACCTCTTTCCGATCAAGCACCCCTATACGATCCTTAGGGTTAGGTATGTGGTAGGGCATGGGTTAGCTATCTCTTTTTTTTTATCCAAAGTCATTTATCTAAAATCCATACCATTTCTTTAAAGTTTCGGGTGTCTCGATGTCTCTGGCAACAAATGTAACTTGTGGTTTCAATAAGCGCCCCCCTACCTTTGTCAATTTGCCAATCAGCCGGGGTGCTTACTACCGCTGACATTTAGGTCTATATTGATGTTTTTTGTTTTTTCAATTGTCTTGCAACCATGGCAACATATGAGACAAAGGATTCCAGAAAATCTCTTCTTTTTCAGGAGAAATCTAGATTTGCCATAGTTTTGTACACTTGCTTGGGAGCTTTCTGATATTTCAGTCAATGTCTGTCAGAGGGACAAGTGCTGTTGTGCCTGACAAAGTATGACAGCAACATCTGAAGTGTTTCATCACTACATGTCCATATACCATGTCCATATACCTGTCCATATACCATGTCCATATACCATGCCCATATACCATGTCCATATACCATGCCCATATACCATGTCCAAGACTCGTTTATGTACTGCCGTGGTAATGCTGGAATATTGCTGACTTCAGTGTTCAACTTTCACTCACTCACTCACTCACTCACTCACTCACTCACTCACGTGCTTATAAGACTGGGAGAGTAGAAGGTCGGTGGTTCGATCCCCGGGTGGGACAGTAAAGGATGGTGCTTGTTGTTACCCTGTCTGGGGCTGGGCATTGAGGAGCAAAACCAAGTACTGGCCTAGTACTATAACATGGGTTTGTTCATGGGTTTGAATCCTGGTTCGACCCGATTACGTTTCTAGGTTTTTCCCCACCATACCGAAAGCTCATGGTTTTTGACAAAGTGGTGAACATCTTAGACCCACCTACATCACATCGGGATTACCGAGGACTGATTTCTTCCCTCAATGAACTAAACTGCACTCCTTCATAAGATGGGATAACAGTATGAATGTCCTGTTAATGATGTAATTTCAGTAACATTTGACAGAAAAATGGGGCACTTATTACGGCGAATACGGTGCTAACCTTTTTTCTTTGACATGAAAGTGTGTTTATATTTTTTGCTTGAATTGCCTTGTGATGTATCATACAAAGGAATCCATAGAATCTCAACATTTTCAGGAGAAACCTACATTTGGCAAAGCATTATAGACTTGCTTTGGACATTTTTCATACCAATATTTTTATTTCAGTGCAGTGTCTTACTATCCCTGTTGTACATGTGAAAGTAGGTGTGGGTCTTTGCATCTGTTTCAGTATTACATGTCCGTATACCATGTATACCCATGTGTATATTGTTACATCAACCCACTGCTGTTGGGGTGAACATAGCCTTGCTCCAAGTCTGTACTGAATGATAAGTCCATGTATGTATAGTCATTCTTTACTTTTGATAGGCAAGTCTAGATAAGCGTACAGTAATCTTAGGAACAGCTTGTTTATATTATGTTTATAATCTAGGAATTATCATTTAGACTAATAATCATTTCCTTGTAGACTTGTGCAAGACAGTGTTGTCAGTGTGTATACACGGGTGATAATACCGTACATCCTGTGATTAACTGACTGGCACATAAAGAGTCCTGTTTATGTCTTGAACCTTGGAGTATTTTCAAGTACTTTTGCCATCTTATGCCAAACACAATAGCTTGGCTGTGAACACAACTGTTTTCATTCTATAATATAACATACAAAATACTTTGGACCAGTCCACAATTAATGTAAGGGGTGCATCTTTCATTGTGTAGGCAAAGTGCACTGATAACAGCTTTAACTGTAGGTGATCGGCACTGTAGGCTTAATGCTCTGTTGGAGAATAGAGATGGAACTGTCAGTGATGTTATCAGTATGGACTAGTTTGTCTGCATCAGACAACACAAGGGATCAAAGTGAGTGTGTGTGTGTTGGGGGGGGGGGGGGAGATGTGTGTGTGTGTGTGGGATATGTGTGTGTGGGGGGGGGGATGTGTGTGTGTGTGTGTGTTATTGATTGTGACTTGGAGTGAGATGTACATTTCTGTATTAATCCTATCAATGTTAATGTGTGTTTGGTTTGTCATCTTTACTGAACACAAAGGTCATTATCTGGGGTTGCTGGGTGAGAACTGGTCCCTAGCAACCTGTGCTGGTCCCTAGCAACCTGTGCTGGTCCCTAGCAACATGTGCTTGTCCCTAGCAACCTGTGCTGGTCATAAGAGGCCACCACGAGGGATGGGTGGGCAGGCTTGGTGACTTGGATGATTGTGTTTCATTGTACACCGGCGATGTGGATCACTGCTTACAATATCAATCACTGGTTTGTCTGGTCTAGATTATCTTTAGGATGTAGTCATGGAGCTGAGTGTGGTGTAAACAAACAAATCAGAAATAAGGACACAGGCTGAGGTCAGTGGGTGCACGATGCAGTACAGCAGGTGGCCAAGCATGGATCGGGTGGTCAGGCTCGCTGACTTGGGGGATGCAGGTCATTGTATCCCAGTTGCATAGATCGATTATTCATATCAGTCACAGGATTGTCCGGTCCAGATGCGACTGTTTCAAAGGCATGGGTCATTATTCATATCAGTCACTGGATTGTCTGGTCCAGATGCGACTGTTTCAAAGGATGCTGTCATATAGTGGAATACTGCTGAGTGTGGCGTTAAACAACAAACTATGATGGCATGGGTCATTATTCATATCAATCACTGGATTGTCTGGTCCCATCATACAGCTGGAATATTGCTGTGTGCGGTGTTAAACAACAAACAATGATGGCATGGGTCATTATTCATATCAATCACTGGATTGTCTGGTCCAGATGCCACTGTTTCAAAGGATGCTGTCATATAGTGGATTACTGCTTAGTGCGGCGTTAAACAACAAACTATGATTGCATGGGTCATTATTCATATCAGTCACAGGATTGTCCGGTCCAGATGCGACTGTTTCAAAGGCATGGGTCATTATTCATATCAGTCACTGGATTGTCTGGACCAGATGCGACTGTTTCAAAGGATGCTGTCATACAGTGGAATACTGCTGAGTGTGGCGTTAAACAACAAACAATGATGGCATGGGTCATTATTCATATCAGTCACTGGATCTGATCTGATGTGTTTGTAGCAGCTTTTTAAATCTAATGGAGGCATTATAGTTTTTCTACGAGAAAAGATTCTAATTGGAATGGACAGTGTTATGATATTGTCAAGAATAAAATTCCAATATGGATCATAATTTACAATACATGTGTCATATGGAAATAAAGTTTCTCTTAAAATTCATTCTATTTTATTGGAATCAACAGTGTTATGATATTGTCAAGAATAGACATGATGGAACACAAAAATGTACAATACATACTGTGTCCATATGGAAATAAGATTCTTTGAGCTGAATCAGTGTTCAAAACTCAGCATTGATGTTAAGACCTTAGTGGTTCTTGTCTTAACCCTGATCAGGATAATTCTGTTGAATGTAGGAGATTGAGGGGACCATCCACCTCCCTTAGCTTGGCACTAAATAGTAATCAAGGGAGGACTTTGTGACTTTAACAATGACAATTTGTTTTCAGGAGATAGCATCTGTGCTGATAGCATTCGATCGTCACAAAGAATGGCAGATCAGAGAACTCAAAATCAGGTATTTTCAATGTGTGCTATTTGGTGCAGTGAAATAGTTCTATCTATGATGCACAATTTATTAGAAAAAATGTTAATAATAATTGTCTATATGTGAATTCCTCATAACAGTGTATAATCTGCATGCAATATGGCTTGCCAGAGGCTCATGTTTATTTGATGTCGTATTAAATGTCACGGTGAAGAGATGGAATTTCAGTATGAATGGAAAGTAGAGAGTTTGTGGTTGGAATTGACATGTCCCTTGATACTAAAACATAGACATTATATATTTTCAATATTCATTTATTTAATGGAATTGATGAAAGGATTCCAGTAAACTGACCATTAACCTGAGGCCAGTGATTAACATGATTAATGTTACAAGTTGACACTAGTCTGCTAGTCTGAGGCAAGTTCAAATTAAAAGGGCAAGTCAATAATGTTGGACATTAACCCTCATCGTCTTGTCGAAAGTAAATGAAGTTTGTTACAGCTAGCTGGGTTTGAACTAAATGCTAAAATGCTTTCCAGGGTTTGCATCATTAGCATTAGAAATTAACACTGGTTTGCAAACCTGATGCAAATTAACATTTTTTGGAAGGGCATTAGAAATTAACACTGGTTTGCAAATCTGATGCAAATTAACATTTTTTGGAAGGGCATTAGAAATTACACTGCTCTGCTAGCCAGAGCCAAAAAGAAGTTTGAATGGGCCAGTGATTAGAAAATCAACACTGGCATGCTAGGTTGAAACAGTGAAATTTTGGAAGGGCCTGGCAATAATTAGTGTTAGAAATGGTGTGGCAACTTTAGATTAGTGAAATTTAGAAGGCCCAGTGATTAGTGTTAGAGATTGTGTGCCAACTTCAGACACGTTAAATGTTTGAAGAGCCAGGTATTAGTGTTAAAAATGGTATGCCAACTTGAGACAGGTGAAATTTTGGAAGGGCCATTGATTAGCATTAGAAGGGCCAATTTTGATTAGTGTTACATTAACGCTGGACTGCTAGCATGAGTCAAGTGAAGTGTGGGAAGGGGAAATGGAACGTGGATGGTTGTTCAGCATTGGTTCATGGTTTCAGGCCTCCGAGTGGCTCCATGCTGCTGTACAGTCGGAACAAGGTGAGGTACCGCAAGGACGGCTACTGCTGGAAGAAGCGGCGCGATGGCAAAACCATCAGGGAGGATCACATGAAGCTCAAAGTGCAGGGGGTGGAGGTGAGGGGAACTACTAGGGCGTTGTGCTGTCACTCTGGCTTCACGCCCCACTCTGCAATAGTCTATCTGTATGACAGGTGTCCGATACATCAGGGTTGGAAATTAATACTAGCCCACTTTCCCACTAACCCGGGGCTACTACAAATGCCTCTGGGCTAGTACAAATTCCTGTGTGCTTGTACAAATTTCCTAATTTCCCCATTGTTTTAACATTACTGGGATGCCAGGATTGAATTGATCCCACCACTCTGCTGGTTGTAAGCGTTGACCAGAATTGATCAGGGGGTCAGGCTCAGACGTGTCATTGTGCCCAGCTGGCGTGGTTCGGTACTCGCAACATCATCACCGGATTGTCTGACCCAGACAGGATCATTTGGCCATTGATCTCCCCTCTAAAAAACATGTGACCTCCCATTCATGAACAATATGGGTTCCTGACCCTATGTATCTGATACCCACCAACCCTTTTGACAGGTAATTGGGACCCATGAAGATCTGGGGTAGAATAGGTCTTCAGCAACCCATGCTTGTCATAACAGGCAACTATGCTTGTCTGAAGAGGCAACTAACGGCAACAGGTGGTCAGGTTCGCTGGCTTGGTTGATGCATGTCTTTGTATTCCCATTGCGTAGATCGATGCTCATGATGTCAATCACTGGATTATCTGGTCCAGACTCGATTATTTACAGACTGCCGTCATGCATTAATCAACAAGCGAACAATTAAATGTTGGTGGACACCTGAATAATTTGTTGATATTCAATTGATTGAGTCCTGATTGTGTTTGTTTTCAGTGTATCTATGGCTCATACGTGCACTCGGCGATCCTCCCTACTTTCCATAGACGCTGTTATTGGTTGCTCCAGGTGGGTGTGATGTGTAGTTTCTTACTGTTCAGTAAATAATAGTGACAGGTCCCTTTCCATGTTCACCTGAAATTCACCAAAAGTAGAGTCGATTGTACGATTCCGACAATGTCACGAGCATGTGTATATGAATCACTATCAAATAGTGATGATACCATGTTTCGCAAAAAGGTGAGTGTATTTTGTTCCATAGGTGGCACCCGTCACCAATACATGCAAAGACAAGTCAAGTGTTTACCTGAAAAAACACAGGAAGATATGGTGTAAGTCAAAATAGGTAATTGCATCAGACACCATTTTTGTCACTGATGTGTCACATTTTTAAAACATTTTGAAAGCTTTACGGAGTCCTTGAATGTTGTAACCTTGATCAAACAACTTCTGACCAAGAGTCGTATGACGCTCTTTGAAATCTTGGAAGAAAGGGCATGCTCGATTGTAGCTCAAAGACATAAGGGAAAGTTGACTATTGGAAAGACACTCACATTACATTATGTTTCGCAACCCACACACCTGTATTAGTTTAAATAATGTTGAAATGGACAATTTGCGATATATTGTACCTGTGTACCTGTATGGCCTGACCTGTTTCAGAATCCTGACATCGTTCTTGTCCACTACCTGAATGTCCCCTACCCTGACAACACCAAACTGAGCATTCCTGTTTTATCTTACGACATGGAGAAGAAAGAATGGACCAAGGAGGAACTTGTTGATCAGCTCAGGCCGATGTGTGAGTTGACAGAGGGCTTCAGAATTAGCTTTCTTGTTTAACGCCACACTCATCAATGTTCCAGCTGTATGATGTCAAACTGAAAATAATCGAATCTGGACCAGACAATCCAGTGTTTGACATCATGAGCATCAATCTAAGCATTTGGGATATGGTGACATGAATCAAGCAAGTCAGCGAGTCGGAGCACCTGTTAATCTGGGTTGCTGAAGACCAATTCTAATTGAAATGTTATCTCTTAGTCAAAGACTGATAAACTTCAGGAAGGACTCATTTCCTATCAATGACTGCCGTGGTTACCATGGCAATTGTGGGGCGGTCGGGTAGCCTATTGGTTAAAGCGTTCACTCGTCACACCGAAAAACCCGGGTTCGAATCCTGACATGGGTACAATGTGTGAAGCCCATTTCTGGTGTCCCCCGCCGTGATATTGCTGGAATATTGCTAAAAGCGGCGTAAAACCAAACTCACTCACTCACTCACTATGGCAATTGTAAAGCTGATCATTTGTACAGACTAGTAGAAACAAAGATTAGTTAATTACCCTGGACTATGTTTTGAAGCAGTGAAAGAGTGTATTGTTTATTTGTGTGTTCATTGCAAGACACTGAAAAACAACTTGTTTTCTATAGGGTAAGATCCAAACTGAGGCACCACGCCTAGCGTATATGCCAATAAACATAGTTACAAATTCTGATACATATTCTATGAATGCTACGTCATAATACTAAAAGAATTAGAAGACAAAATACCTGTATCCCAGGAACCATTCCCATCTTTGTGAAACTGGGAGATACTAAGGGAGATAATTTGGGCAGTTAATATGCAACCCACTGGTGACACAATGTCAGACATTGTCTGATGTTGAAAGCTTACATGAGTTCAATTGTTGATGTCAGAAACTGACAGAAAGAATTAAAAGCTTAAGACATTGTTGTATTCCTTGTATAGATGTTGATATTGTAGTAACAACAGTCATACTGTAACCTTAGGTTCCGGGTACTTTACCCTTCTACCTATGGTCACTTCTACTTATCCACTGCTCCTTGGTTCTAGGGATGATGTAGCTCTCTTGAAAATCACAAGTCAAATGGTTTGCTCCAGCCTCTTTTTATTTATGATATAATTAATCATAAACATGTACACATGGTCCTCAGATTAGTTCTTGTTGTTGCCTGATATAAATACAACACATACCTAGGTGATGGTTGAAGAGCCTGATGGTTTTTCTGATGAACGTTAACTCTACGTCTTCTCTGACTCGGGATCCCAAAACCACGGTGAACCTTTCTGTTTAGCTGTCTGCTCCCGACTCCCCGCACTACTCTCGGACAACCCCCTAAATACTCTCCATGATAATAATTTCTCCTCACACCGAAATAGTATTTGACGTCATGTGAAATGAGTCCTAACGCTCACTTCTCTATGTACCCCCAATTCCCATTTCAATCAGTCTTTCCATCAAGTTCTTCTTAACCAAACACTCAACTAATTTCCTAAGTTAATGGTCAAATCATTGGTCAACCGAACATACCCTCAACTCTAAACAACCCTAGATGTAAACCCAATACTCTGCCAGATTGGAAGGCACCGAAAAGATTGTGATTCAAATGAAGCTTGTTATTTAGACATTCAAGTCAGTAGTAGCTTACAGAAATATTTGATCACATCCGGACTTACCAACTTCTGTCCCATCAGATTCATTTCCTTATACTACAAGACCGTATACTACCAATTTCCTCAGATTGATGAAAAGCCATCTCTATCACTCAAGAGAAGCAAAATCAATAATCATATGTCCTGGGGGTTATGCCCTCACCCTGTACGGTCACTTCTCTCATATGCATCCAAATTCTATCCAAAAGCTCAATTTAGTAAACTACATTTTAAGTAAATATTAAAAACCCTTTTTCCAAAATACCCTGGTTACACATGCCCTTCCCGTTGTAGAGCATGTCCCATGCGATTGACCAATGATAATAAAATATAAGATGTAAATACAATGGTACAATATCAGTAAGTAACAACATGTGTATGTATGTATCTGAGGACCAGATAAATCAACACAATAAAATTTTACAAAGAAATGTCTCAGATAGGATCTGTCTTGGGTTGTACCTATCTGAGAATAACATCTGAAGCTTATTAAGATATAATCAAATTATCATTCTTTGTAAAGGTTTCAGGTTTACAAAAAAATATTTTTTTCTTCGGTAGATGCAGATAGTCAGATTCTCAATGCTTAAGCTTCAGGTATATATAAATAGACATATGAGCTTTTTTTTTCTTCAGGCACAACAAATCACAACACCAACTAACAACTTATCATCAATGTCCTAATCATGTATCCTTATTACTCCCTAGATTAACCAGTCCAAGTCGTCAGGGTTAACTCTAAAGTGTAGACCTGAGTCTGATGAAGCGTCACTTTCGCTGTCACTGTCACTATCAACTACCGGTATATTAGGGACCACAACAGGAGGTGGACTTGCTCTTATTGGGAAAAATCCACCTCGAATAAACTGGTCTGAATAAGGCCAGTGATGTACCATCAAATGAGAAAAATTTACAAGGAAAGCGGCTCTCCACCATCTTGTAGAATGAGGCTGCTCATCCCTACAAGTCCGATAGTGGAAAGTTTGACTTTCTGAAGCGTCAGGCAATTCTAACTGATATTCTGAGATGGTTGCATAAAAGTCCTGATGTTCGAGAGGATCGTCCATCTGGAGTTCTGGAATGAGGAATTGGAACTCATTCCCTATCATTCCAAATGCCATGCCATCTGGAAATAAACTTCGGACCACCTCACAAGCATAGCTGGTGGTAGTCCCGGACCTTCTTTGGGCCTCAAAATAGGGTAGTGCCAGAGTATCTGATATATCCCCTCGTATATTAGCATCCATCCTAACCTGACATACTTCACACCGAAGTGCATTATTGCTATCAACAAACAAATGTCCATTGTCCTGTTCTGTCATCCTGCCTAATGTGCCAGCAATACTATCCCTTAACACAAACTTGACCTTTTTGGAAATAATCAACACATGCATGGCACATGTTGCATGGTACATGCGTTTGCACCACGCACAATGCTGTACTTCGTAGCCCTTACTTGCATAAGGGTCCACATCCAGCAAGTCCTCCAGGCAATATCCACACCTTTTCCAGGTATTGTGGAAAGGGAAATGATCATTGTGGGCAAGTGGTGTCCACCGCAACCTAAGCTGAATGTTTAAATTACCTTCATCCCCAAATACACAAAACTTATTTACTTGATCAGTAGTATACCCAGCTCCTCGCAAGTAAGCATAGAAGAAGGGCATCAAATTTTTTCGATAGGGTGAAGCATAACAAATCATAAGAGAATCTCCTACATTAGACGGTGTCAACATGCCGACTAATCCTAACTTAACTATGTCAAAGAAGCCGAAATACATCCCATATATGACCATGGTTATGGGTCGAATTTGAAATTTTCGGTACCGTCTATTTTTCATAGTGGTGGCAATGGGCAACCGGTTGTCGAAAATAGGCTCCTTCAAATCATAAGCGAAGATTGCCAAAATCTCCTTATGAATATAGGGAGATATCAGTTCTGGTACCTCTAAGTAAATAACTCTAGGCATGTCAACTTCACAGTATAAAGTCAACAGTTGTGCAAAGAACAAGGACCATTCTGCCCATGTCCTCACCTGTCTCTGCGTAATGGTGACAGTTTCACCATGATTGGTGGAATTTTTAAAAGCACCAGTAATCCTATTTCTATTCATTTTGAGTCTATAGGTAATTGATGATAACTAAACACAATATAATTACTCACAATACTGAGATATATATATAGCAGGACACAACAATGTCTTACACGGACGTCTAACTATTGGAGGTGTACCCCTGTGGTCAACGACCGGTGACTAGCCAAGCAAGTGCGTGATAAGCGATAAGTGAAATATGCGTAATGTATGCGATATGCTCTATAGAGGTAATTGGAATCACAAACGATATCACAAATTGCACTAAACTTCGGGGTACGAGCTAGCCACACCAAACCCCCGTGAACTATCATGGCACGTTTAAAGCGTATAGTCTGATTGCGGCCAAGCAGTTCTATTTACATTTGCAATCAGACTGATTAGGTTTTTGCATAACTTGCCAGTATGTAGACTACGGTACATTATATACGTTGAGAACATTCATTTTTGGTTAGGTATCACTTTAACTATTTCAAAGCAAATAGCTACGGTATCTATATCATGCTTCATAATCAACACCTCAATTTAAAACTGTATACAACATATTACAAAATTTTTTTTTCCACACAACATCAACTTAATATTACCTTTCTGAACATGTATTTATGTAGGGTATAACCAAATGTTCCCTTTTATGATGGTTACGGTCCATCAACAAGTATTGAAGACATCAAACATGCCACAACATACATATTTCTATCAGTAAAATTTCTCACAAATATTTATGTATATAACATCTGCATCTACCAATACAGTATACATTTTTAAACAATCAAAAACAACCTGCGATGCAATGCAATGCACCTTATTCAATATACCTGTAGCATATAACAGATATATTTTCTCTCATAAATTCAATACATTTTATCATCAATTCATAAGTACACACATTTGTATACCATATATTCATGTATACAACATCTATAATATAATCGACATCTGGTATAATCAACATCTTTGAATACAATATAACATCAACATTTATACAAGAGGACACTAGTATGTCTGAGATCACTTAGATTTCTAAAACTGTGACATTTCAATGCTCTCTGGTCTCTGCGGAACTGACGGATAAATTAATTTTACATCCCTAACAGCAGCTGTTTGAGTAGCGGTGGTGCAAGGTAGAGGAGCAGAAGGTCTACCCGATTCGTTAACAACTATGGGATATTGTACGTTCCCATGTATCAGAGAAACACTTGCTATGTATTCCTCATCCATCATTCTGGTCAGTCTACCTGCCTTAACCCA